CTCTACGACTTCCAACAGATCGTTGATGAACACCTGGAACAATGTTGGGGACAGCGTGCAACCTTGTGGGACCCCCTGCTCAATGTCGAAGAATTTTGACAAATCTCCGTCTAACATGACGGCGCTTTTCGTGCACTCTGTCATGTTCTTCAGCACTCTCCACATTTTCCTCTTGATCCCGTATCTGGACAGTTGTTTCCACAGCCCATTTCTCCATACGGTGTCGTATGCCTTTTTCACGTCCAGGAAGAGGCAGTACGTCGGCATTCCCTCCCACCGTTCAACACCATCAGCTCGTTGCTTCCCAAGAATTCAAGCATCCTCACTCCGTTGTCATTCACTTTTGTCTTCCCCGTGCTCCCCTGCTGCCCAATCGCCTGTCCTCTACTGGCAGCTCACCATGACAACTTCTCCCTTCCTACTGAACCTCTGGACATCTTCCCCAATTTGTCCAAAGTTCTCCTGCGCCTTGCTTGCGACTTTCTTCGACGACGGTGGGACGTATACGTTCCCTAGAAACAAGTCTTTCTCACCCCGCTCCCCAGGTATCTTTNCCCGTGCTCCCGTGCTGCCCAATCGCCTGTCCTCTACTGGCAGCTCACCATGACAACTTCTCCCTTCCTACTGAACCTCTGGACATGTTCCCCAATTTGTCCAAAGTTCTCCTGCGCCTTGCTTGCGACTTTCTTCGACGACGGTGGGACGTATACGTTCCCTAGAAACAAGTCTTTCTCACCCCGCNCTGCATCCTGCTAAGGGTGTTCGGTATCTTGTGCTGACTTCCTCGCGTACGGACGACAGCTGCGCATGACTAATTTCTTCTCTGGTGCTTCCATTTCCAGAAACAGTTATAAGCACTGTGTAACTGCCTCGAGGGTACTTGGCCAATTCAACCCAATGTGCGATTATCCTCTTTGCTAGTCCACCACCATTACGGTGACTGCAAAAACAAAAGAGAGGTAAAAAATAAGGGGGGAGGGGGGGGGCTACTCTTGTGTTTTGCATGCCTTAGCGGTTAGACCATTGACCACGCGTCCNGCTCCCCAGGTATCTTAAGCCATAGGCCTTCCTCGAACACCGTTTTCACCACTACTTCCTCCACGTCAAATAAGTGTTCCTTGACCAGGAATCCGACGCCCCCCTCCCCCCTTTTCTGCGGGTCTAAGCCCTTTCTTGCCTTCCCTACCCACCGGTATTTCCCTNTTCCCTCTCCTTCTTGTACAACGGACATTCCGCGACTACATGAACACGGTCTTCGCATTCGAAACGGCAATCACATTTGAACTCGTCGTCTTCGTCGTCTACCGTTTTATGTCTTCGTCGACGTTCTCCAAGGCCTATGTCCCCGGTCCTGAATTTGACCTTAAGCTTTGTTCCTGCATCCATTGGTCCATGNGGATCGCTATCTTCTACTTGGTCCACTATTTCCAACCGCTTACGCTCCCTCCTTGCGAACCCGCGCACGTTCCACGACCCGACTCTCAGCTTGTGCTTTTCCCTATTGGAGATTTTGCGCACACATCGTTCGCCTTTCGCTTCTTCTCGGACTTTTTTCTGACTTGCCTGCTCGCCTCCCCCGCTCGGTCCTTTCTTCGCCTCCGTCGCCCTCGCCTCTTGTCTCCTTACCTTCTCTGTTTCTATCATGTTCGCGATGCAAACCCTCCATCCAAACTTCCTTACGTAGTTCGACAGCTTCTCGATATCAACCCCCAAGCACTCTTGGCTGTCTCCCTTGGTCAATTTCACCCGGAAGTGTTCATGTTCTCTGCCTACTTGT